CGTGTCTGAGTCTATCTTCTTGGTATTTTCTCCCTTAGTTTTTACACTCAGTGTCCTTTACTCTGAGATACACGTTCTTCTGTTGCTTTCATCATTTCTATTTGCTAAACCTGGGTTCACGGGTCCCGTGGTGTGAGGGGGCACTGCCACGGCGCGTGCCTTCCCAGGAACGTGCTCTGCCTGGTGCCTTTGAGGCCGGAGGCCGCTGTTCACTTCCCTCCCCCCGGCCACCGGCCCGAGGGCCAGAGTCACACCGACTCTGTCCCCGAAGCTTCTGGATGCATTTTACGGGCCAGTGCACAGCTCACTGCTGCCTTGCCTCTTCCTTTCCTAAGCTCCCTGGCGACTGCCATACATGGTCTCTTCCAGATGACCCATTTTATTGCTTTTTCCAAAGAAACGATTTTCGATGTATTTATCAATTTTAGCTTTTTGGTTTGTTTTCGGATTCATCGACTTTTTCTGTTGTCTGTGTATTTCCCACCTCCCTTCCCTTATTTCCTGAGCTTTGTGGCTCTTCCTCTCACGTCTGAACTTTCCATCCTGCACGTTTATGATCATTCCCTTCCCTCAGGCAGAAAAGCATTTAGGGCCTCGGGCTTCTCTCTCCATCGGGGACCCGTCGAACAGAGAAAGTTGTGCTGTCTCTTTTCTGAAATGTCTGTACATATAAATTTGATTTCCTCTTGGACTTAAGGGATATTGAGCAGAGTGTTTTAAAGGTTCTAATTAATATGTGTGTGTTGGGGGGCGGTCTCATTTTATTCCATTTGGTCAGAAACTGCGGCCCTTAAAATTTATGCCATCAGCCTTCACGGGTGGTGAACAGAGCAGTGATGAACACATGCAGTGGATTCTCCTGGGGCCGAGAATGTGTGGGTTCAGAGAATACGTGGGTGGCATCCTCCTCAACCCGCTCTGCGCTCGTCTTCTGATCTGTCTGGCAACTCCATGACCTGGGGCAGGGGTGGGGGTGGGGGGAGGGGTTCCAGCCCCCACTGGAATCCGCTTCTGTCCAATTCTTTTTTGTCTTTACATAAAGCAGAAACGACCACATCCTAACTTTGTCTTTTGGTTTAAAAAGGTTGATGCCTATTTTAGATCCATTATCAACCCTGGCCTTTTTCTGCATGAAGCAGCCTTGAACCCTCAGCTCCTGGGATGAATACCGCACCCCTGCCTTCCCCTCTTGTAACCTTTTCCTGACAGCATCTCTGTTGCTTGTCACTTGCTGGCCATGCCTCTTGGAAACCAGCACCAGGTGGTTTATGGTCTGACCTTGAACGGTCAAGGGCGGGCTCTGACGCAAAGTCCTGACGCTCGGTGAGTCCTGGGGCCCCGCAGGGCCTTGTCTGAGGGTCTGCACTTTGGCAAAGCTTTCATCTTTGACAGCAAGCCTGATCTGACAGCAGCTTACTCTGCCTCGGACGTGGGGCCTCCCTCTGCCTCTTAAACTTTTCTTTCTTTTTTGATGTTTCCTCTTTCTCTTCTGTCTTTTACCAAATAGGGACTATGGGCTTTTGCGGAGTGCGTGGGATTTGGGAGGAATATATCCTATTTTTCTTCTGGTGTTCCCTGACGGACCCCGATGCTCAGAGCTTTATTCATCATGAAGGGTGATCCTCAGGGTGCCCGGGGTCCACGGGGATGTGCCACTTCCTGCAGTCGCACTCCGTAGCACCAGCGGCCCCCTGCCGGGCAGGGTCGAGCTCAAGCGTAGCTCTGACGCAATGTCCTCACAGGCCCGTGGGGCCTTGGGTTTCTCAAGCTACCTCGACTTGGGGTTTTGCACCTTGAGTCCTGGGGCGGGGCTGCCCTTAGATCTGGGGAGAGTGCAGCCTCGGGGCCATCGGGGTGGCAGGGAGGGTGCCGCAGGTCTGGGCTCGGGTGGCCCAGCTGGAGCCCGCGCCCTCCTCCCTGCTCTTGGACCAGCTGTCCCAGCCGAGTCGGGGCCTCACATTCACGAGGGCGGCCCGAGCCTGCCCTCCCCCAGAGCGGGACCAGGCCCGCAAGCCGTTCCAGGCACGCAGAGGGAGCCGAGGCAGAGTACGCTGCTGGGGCAGCCGGGGACCCGGGCACGGGCACTGCCCTGCGCTGTCCAGGGGGCCGGGCCCCAGGACAACACCCAGAGGAGGCCTCGGTCTATGAGGCCCCGCCATGATGGTTGCGGCATCGGGGCTTCTGATGGCCAGTCCTGGCCGCCGGGCATGTCCACTGGCACCCCTGCCCGGGGCCGAGAGGAGGGCTGGCTGCAGGCTCCGCGCTCCGAGCTCCCAGAGCCACTGCGTCCTGCCCCCGAGGGGCTGTGGGCACTGGGGCTGGGCCAGAGCCGGGCACGGCGGGAGTCCCAGTGCTTAAGGGGGAAGAGAGAGCGGCGACACCCCTCCCATGGCCTGTGGGTCTTCTTGCTATAACCAAGGTGCTCTCCCCACCGCGTGGGAGGGTGCCTCAGCTGTGAGCGGCACCGGGTCTGCATCCTGCCGCTGCCGGGGCCCTGGTTTCCGCAGGCGAGGGCCGGGGTTTGCCTGCTGGTTGCTGTGACTATTTGGGGTCCGTGGCCACAGGAAAGGGCGTCGAGCTGCTTTTGGAGGGCCTTCCCCATCCCTGGCGGGACTTCCCCCCCCCCGCTGGCTACGTGCACAGCTGGGGCGCCTGGGGCGGGGGCTCCCCGACCTCTACTGGGAGCAGCCTCTGCCTCTGAAGTGGGGTGCTATCCTGAGGCCGACTGGGCCCGGCGGCACCCAGGTCAGCCGGGGGGTTAGTGAGCACGCGCGGGCCTCGCGGGGCGTCCGGCTGTGGAATGTTAGGGACCCAGAGGGCTCTGGGGCAACACGGGGCTTTCACAAGTGGGTGGGTGTGGAGTAAACCGAAAGCACCTTCCCAGCTCCCGCTCTGTGACCCCGGAAGCCAGAGCAGGGCGTAAGTTCTGCTTTTGACCCGAACAGGAAAGAAAAGGGAAGGAGTGTGTTCTGTTATGACACTTCTAGCTCCTGATTGCAAGCTTGGTGGGGACCGGGGTGCGGGGTCACCCCCAAAAGACCGGAGAGTGGGTCTGGGCGGGACCTCTAAGCACTGGGTCCTCCCATGGGACCCCCTGGGACGCTCCTCCACCCCAGAGCCCCTGGTACACATGCAGGGGTTATGGGAGAGCAGAGGCGAGGGCAGGACCCACCTCCAGGTGCCCCCAGAGCCCACAGGCCACGGCAGAGGCCACCACGGCAGGGCCCACATGGTCTTCGACACAAGTGGACCTTGGGTTGGAGCATCTGCCGGCCCAGATTTGGGACCCTGAGTCCACCGTGGCAGCCCAGCACTGTCAAGCAGTGTGCTGGGGAGAGCAGCTGGCGTTTGCGGGTATTCAGGGAAGCCTGTTGACCCTGGTTTCGGATGAAATACCCCCCCTTCCAGCCTGCTGCCTCTGGTTTGCTGGCAGCTCAGCACCCTCTCCGCTCTCTTGGCGTCAGATTAAAAGGCAGCAGCCGTACAGGTTCTCACACGTGGGGGCTCGCGGGCCCACGAAGCGCTGCCAGCCCTGCGGGGAGCTGGCCTGGAGGACGTTTGCTGCTTTGGGCCCAGCCTGGGTCCCTTGGGGCACTTCCGGGGGAGGGTGGAGCTGCCCCGCTGGCCCCTGCGCAGCGGGTTTGAAGGTGCTGTTTCCACCTCTGAGACCCGGAGCCCCAGTGCCAGGCCTCCAGGCCGCGCGCACGCTCTTGCCTCTGGGAGCCTCAGGGCCCCAGCCGGCGGTGGCCCAACACCCTGTCCACGCCTTGCCCCAGGCCCGGCACAGCAGGTGATGGCTCTGCGGGCCCTACTGTTGTCAGACAGCCCAAGTTCGAGCGCCTGATGCACGGTGAGGCCAAACAAACCGAAACAGCGGAGTTTGGAGCAGAGAAAGGTTTATTGCAGGGCCGAGCAAGGAGACGGGTAGCTCAGGCCCAGAAAACCCCGAGCCCCCCAAAGGGTTTCGGCAAAGCGTTTTGAAAGGCCAGGTGAGGGAGGGGGGTCGCAGGGTATGTGATCAGCTCGTGCACAGTTCTTTGATTGGCTGATGGTGAGATACCAAGGCGGGGTCACAGAGGTTCACATTATCAATCCTTAGGCTCCAGGAGGTCTGGGGGCTGCATATGCTCATGGTCATTGTGCAATTAACCTCTTCCATTTGGTAGGGGTTTTAGCATCTGTAAAACGTAGGATATGTGCATCAGATACCATTCGCTCCTTATCTAGGTACTTCAAGGAGGAACTAAAGATTCTGTGACTGCGGTATGGCTGATTTGCTGTTTAAATTCTTACCAGTTCTCCTGGCCCAACTGCCACTTCTGTCACGACGTGTTCACATCCTTTCAATCGTTAATTCTCCAGCCAGGCTTTTGTGACTCAGGGGAGGCCTGGGAGACTAAGCTTTTCTACTGACAAGAGGCAGGCAGAGGATGTGGGGGGAGGGGTCTGTCCCAGGCAGGCCCCAGATGTCCTGCCCCGATTACACATCCTCGCCCAGCGGGCAGCTGGCACAGTCCTGGCGCCGGTAGGTGCTCAGAGTTGGCTTCTCTTCCAAGTCCTGGTTCACCCTCCTCCCAGGAGGCCTGGGCCGGCCGAGTCTCTGCTCCAAGCTCAGCTCAATTCACTGAGGACTCGGGGCCACGAAGGCCACGTGGGGCCCTGACCCGGAGCGCGCGGCACCTTGGGCGCGCGTGTGTGCGCACACGCGTGGTGAGTGTGTACGTGTGAGCATGTGTGCGTGTGTCACTGTCAGGAGGCCCACTCCCTGCTGGTCCTCGGGGGCTGGGGGCTCAGCTGTGCGGAGCGCACGCAGCCCCACTCAGCCCTCCTCTCCCGCTGGCCAGCACAGCCCCATTGAGGGGGGTCGGGGAGACTGACCCATGCTGGCTACGCCCCTGCGCTGAGCACCCCTCAGCAGCAGGGACGGCCTGCCCAGCGCTGCGTCTCTAGGCCCAGGGTCTGGGGGCCCAGGCCCAGTCACCGCCCCCTCCCCTCCACAGGACATGCTGCGCCAGCGCCCCCAGCTGCTGCTCCTAGGGGGCCTGCTCGCCCTCCGGTCTGGTGAGTCCCGCGGGGGTAGCTCCTCATGGGAGGAATGGGACCCGCCCTGGCACCCTCCTGCCCCCAAGTCCCCTGGTGGAGGCTCAGGAAGGGCCCTGCTCTGCCGCCCTCCTCCGTTCCCCCGCCCACCGGCCCACCGTGGGGCCCACCCTCCTGGAGGCCACTTCCCCTGGGGCCCTGGTCTCCGCCCTCCCTCCTGGTCCTGCTGCTGCCCTTTCTTCTCCACCGCCCCCATTCACACCCCCGGTGGTCCGTTGTCGCTCTCCCTGGAGGGCCTGCTGTCTCTGTGGGGGGTCGGCCAGTGCCTGCCACAGGCTACGCCCACCAGCCTGTCTCCTCTCCCCTAGTCCTGTCCCAGGAGTGCACCAAGTACAAGGTCAGCACCTGCCGGGACTGCATCGAGTCAGGGCCTGGCTGCGCCTGGTGCCAGAAGCTGGTAAGAGCCTCACTGAATGCTGTCAGCCACCGGGAGGGGCCTCACGCCTGGCCTGCCCTTCCCCCCTTCCCTCCTCCTGGGCTGGACCCTCTTTTCCTCCTCTGAAACTGCTGGCCTCCGGGAGCTTCACCACTCTGCTTTCTAGTGGGGCAGAAACAGCCCAGGGACACAGTGCTGTCAGAGGGACAGACAGGCAGACTCAGCGTGTCCCCGGGCAGCCTGGCAGGAGCGGATCGGAGAGTGAAACCGCTGGGTCTGGACAGGTGCAGCCCGAGCCCCAGAGGCAGGAGCCCTGGCCAGAGACAAGACAGAGATGCTTGCGGCAGGAAGGCAGCTGCTGCCACCCGCCCGTGTGCCCCGCTGTCCGCTCCCAGAACACGGAGGACTGGGGAAGTTTCCTGCTGGAAACCTAACTCTCTGTTGTCCTTAGTTACTTCATATTTTACTTGTGAGACCCTCTGGGAAGAAAGGCAAAGGCCCAAGACGGCCGGGACGTGGGGTAGCTCCAACTCCTCCTGGGGAGGACCCCTTCCCTAGGGACCCCCAGATGCTGACCACGCCCTCCTCATGGGGGTCCCTGAGGTTCTGACACCACAGGTCTGTTTGGAAACACACACATGCACACATATTATTTTTTTTCCTCAGTTGTTTGAGGGTAGGTTGCAGACACAATCCCTTAATATTTCCAGGGACTTTGCTGAGAACAAGGTACTCACTTACAAAACCACAATGCATTTATCAAAGATTGGAAATTTAACATGGTACTTTACTCTGATCAAATTTACACACCTTGTGCAAATTTTGCCAATTGTTCCAATAATGTCTTTGATATCATCCCCCCCCACACACTCCACACCCACCCCACTGGTCAATATTATAATCCAGCACCACACATTGCATTCAAATGTCTCTTTATCTCCTGGAATCTGGAACATTCGTCAGCTTTCTTTGTCTTTCACATCCTTGACATTTCTGAGGAGATCGCGACAGCAGTTTTGCAGAATGCCCCTCATATGGGTTTGTCTGGCCTTCCCTCTGATTCAGCCCAGGGTGTGCGTTTTTGGCAGGAACCCCATGCTGGGCTCCTGTTGTCACTTCGTCCTGATACTGGGGATGCAGCCTGGACCACTCAGCTGAGGTGGCGTCTGCCAGGCTCTCCACCTATGACGTTACTATTTCCCTTTTGCAATAGTAAGTAATTTGTGGGGAGATACTCCGAGGCCAGGAAATAGTCTGCTTCCCATCAGGCTTTACACCCACTAACTTGAGCATCTGTTGGTGTTGGGTGCCTGAATCAGTTCTCACTGGGATGGTTGCAAAATGGTGACATTCCTGTTCATTACTCCTTCTAATGGCTGCTAATGTAAGGAGGAATTTTTCCTTCCCCCAATCTCCCTCTCTCTGTCTCTCTCATCGGTGTAAACCCGTAGATGTTTATTTTATTCGGTAGCTTATAAGCTATCACTTTCATTTTGCCATTTTGAATCTCGAATTGTTCCCCGTTTGGACTTTGGGAGCCCCCAGGCTGGCCCTGTGTCCTGTTAGCACGCCCCAGCATCACTTCCTGAGCTCTCTTACTCTCTGGGATCGGCAGAGCTCCAGGCCCGTCTGCACTTTCCTCGCCCCCACTAGGGACTCCGACATTTCTCTGAGGGTTCCTGGTTCCCCTTCATGAGAAGCCAGGCTCCCAGCATCTGCAATACACTTCCCCATTTTCTTAATCCTACGATTCACAGAAAGTGGTTGCAGAGTTGCTACCCACAGCACTGCAGGGGGACATCGGGTGTGGTCTGTGTTGTCTCCTCTCGTTGGGGTGCGGTCATAGTACCGGCTTAAAAAGTCCGTCCTTAAGTTGAATTTCTCCCTTCCCTTTCCTGAGTTTATCGTATGCATTTGAAATGCAGTCGGGTTCAGTTGTTTTTAGGGGTTTCTTCCCTCTCCATTCCTGTGAATTTTCTTTCTGAGTACTTAAAGCATTAATAGGGTTCCAAAAGCGAGGACAGTTCAGGAGCAGCTCAGGAAGCACCGCCCCCCTGCTGGCCCCGCCCCGGCGCTGGGCACGCCCCCTGCACCTGCCTGGTCTCCTGCCGGCGGGATCTGTGTAAAAAAACAAGTTCTACATTTGATAAATTCAGAGGTTTATGGGGAAGACAGAAATAAAAATTGTTTAAATACAGAGTAATATGTGATGAAATAGGGTTATGCCTAAGGTGGCACAAAGAATTAATTGTTAGAAGGATCAAAGAAGATTTCACGTGAGCAATGGCACTTGAGTTAGATCGTGATGGATGAGTAGGCATGCCGGAGGAAGCCGAGGGCAGGACCCTCCGAATGCGGCCCTCCCTGCCGTGTCCACATCCAGGGGGCCTTCGTGGGGGCACAGTGGTCACGAGGGAAGACCCTGGGAAGACCCAGGACCCCCACGCTCCCCTCCGGCCTGTTTCCTTCTGAGCTGCCTGGCCCAGAGCCCTGGCCTGTATTCTGGATCCGCGTGGTGCCTGGGGGCCAACACGTGGGCCAAGAGGGGGCGCTCGCGTCCCCTTGGGAGGTAACCACTCCCTCCTTCGCCCGGTGCTGCTGACGCTGCCCAAGGGCCTGAAAACCCTGGGCCACGTGCTCCGTGGGCCGCGCAGAGTCCCCGTGGCTCCACCTGGGGCTGGAGCCGTTGGTTCCTGAGTCGCCTCTGCCCGCTCGCGGGCTCTCCTGGGATGCGGAGCCTCGTGAAGAGGCCCTCTGGAGGCCGCCCAGCCCCTGCCTCGTCCCGCTGCCACCGGGACTCCTGACCTGAATCTGGTGCAGATGAGGGGGTCGGCATCGCACAGCACCCACAGTGTGGGCTCCCATCTTTTCTCTGCCCCTGACCCCTGACCCCTGGCTCCCCCAGAACTTCACGGGGCAAGGGGAGCCTGACTCCACTCGCTGTGACACGCGGGAGCAGCTGCTGTCAAAGGGCTGCGCGACAGATGACATCGTGGACCCCAGGAGCCACGCCACGACCCAGGAGGACCAGGTGGGGGGCCAGAAGCAGCTGTCCCCACAGAAAGTGACGCTCTACCTGAGACCAGGTAGGCTTGGCCTCGGCTGGGGGTGAGCCAGCCCCTGATGGCCGCGTATCCCATGTGTCCAGGTCAGACAGCCAGGTGGGCTGGGCGAGGCCCTGGGACTGCTGGGAACCAGTCTGAGCTCTTCTCTCTGCCCCAGGGAGGGTGCCCCCAAGAACCCCGTCTGCGGCTGGGGGCTAGTCTCTCTCTTTTTTTTTTTTTTTTT